ACTTCAACGTGAGTAGAAGAAACTCTCTAACTTCTTCCTTTCTTCTTCCTTTGCTCTCTTACTCCCGCGTCTTTAAGGAGCAACCTTCATTTCCGGAATGCWAYAGTCYCATTTCCATATAAGGTATGGCACCGACGGAAAGGTCTGTCACCGCCCCGAGCTGCATGCTGCAGCCAAGTGTACCTCGTTTTACCACGAACACCACTGAGGTTCCTCTGACGTCACGCCGGCAGCGCGTGAGGACAGGAAGTAGTTGTGGAACTCAGGTTTAGGTCCTCACCTGCAGAATGTTGGTTCTGGTTCTGGACGCTCTCAGACTTTGTTTACTGACAAACACGGCGGCCGCCATCTTGGTTCGCAGGTGATGACGTAGGCCGGACTGAAACAAGATGGAGGGGGCGGGGCTTCGCTCCGGAGAGGAACAGCTAAAGACTCAGGTTGTTGGAGGGGTGCACGTGTCCCCACCTGTCCCCCACCTGTCCCCCACCTGTCCCGTCTCATGTCTACCACCTGTTCATGAACAGAGGATCGGTTCGCTCCAGACCGAGCCTCGGAGGTCCCGCCCCCCCAAACCCACATCAGTGGTTCAGTCCGGACCGGACCAGGTCACCTGGTACCGTAAATAACGTGAGACGCTGTTCGGGTCTCAGTCTCCTGTCAGAACAACCCGGAGGACACCGAACCGAGCCGACCCGGTCCGTTTCAAACCGGGACCACGACTCATCTGGGTTGGAGGTTCTGCTCAGCGGAACTTCCGGTCAGGGCTGAACATCGGACACTTATTGGACTCGAACAGTTACGGTACCGGTTCCTGTGGCGAGACGGACTGAAGGAGCGGTTCGGTACCGATGACAGATGGAGGACCGAGTCTCTGGACCCAAACTAGTTCTAGTCTTTAGCGGCAAGCGGAAGTCTGGAAAGGATTATGTGACGGATCTGATCCAGAACCGGTAAGGTCCACATGTGGTCCTGGTTCTGGTCCTGACCAGACCAGTAATGTGTTTAATCAACAACCTGTTTGTTTGGAGTCACGTGATCTTTGTTCTGATTCTGGAGAACCGGAACAAAGATCCAAGTCCAGAAGAGACCACTGAGCATGCGCAGTGTGAGACATCTGACCAGAGGGACACTTCAGTGTCTTTGATGGACAGTGTGTCTGATGGACAGTGTGTCTGATGGACAGTGTGTCTGATGGACAGTGTGTCTGTGATGGACAGTGTGTCTCTGATGGACAGTGTGTCTGATGGACAGTGTGTCTCTGATGGACAGTGTGTCT